CCACCATTTGAGCCGCTAGGGCTGGGCTACAGAAAAGTTCTTTAAAACAAGTAAGTAGGGTTACCCTAGCCATCTCAGATGTTAAAATATATTAAGTATCAAAAATAAAAATGTGGTATTCAAAGTATAGATAAAGAATCAAACTAGACAAACTATAGAGAGACCCAAATGCATACTAAAATTTAATGTATGATAAAAGTAGCATTTCAAATCTGTAACAAAAAGGTGGATTATTTCAATAAGTGATTTTAGGACAATTAAGTAGCAATTTTTAAAAAGTTAAATTCAGGACCAGCAGTAAGTGTAATCGCTATGTCACTGAACACCCATATAGCCGATCGCAGTTCGAGTCCTGGACCCGGTGGCTTAAACTCACGCCAGGCATGTGTACGTGTGTGTCCAAGATCCCAGGAGGAGAATGGAGGAGAAGGGATTGCGGTGTGGCCATCCCCCAGGGGGTGATTTCTCACTTTCTGTCCCTCTGTCTCTGTCTTTCTGGCAAGCACATGTACCCTATAGCAAAAACCTCTCCCCCCAAAAAAGAAGATAAATGCTTACTTTAAAAATATACTTTTGGGGGGGACTGGCAGATGGCATGGTGGTTACATCACTGGACTCCCATGTGGTTGACCACAGTTTGAGTCCCAGACCTGGCAGGTTAAAACTCTGCCAAGCACGTGTGCATAGTGTCCAAAATTCTGAGAGAAGAATGGAGGAGAAGGGATTGAGGCATATGATCCCCCCGGGGGGTGATTTCTAGCTTTGTTTCTCTCTTTGTCTCTCTGGCAAGCACACATGCCCTATAGCAAAACTCTCTCTTGAAAAATATAAAAGCATATATATATATATATATTTCATATATATACATATATATATTTACATATGTGTTTGTGTGTATTTTATAGACAAAAATATATACTTTTTTCCCCCTGAGAGATAAAATGTCCTCCCATTTTTTTCACTCTTAATCAGACTTAATGTAGTCCAATACAGCTGCTTAGCGGGGGTACTCAAGTGAGCTGAAGTGCACACAGACCAAAGCCTGCTCCCTGGGCATTTCCTTCACAACAGAAGACAGCAAAGGCCAATGGTCGAGGGCACTTTACTTTCTGGTAAAATAAGTTAATTTAAACTCAGTTCTGGACATATTCTTTTCTCTCCGTCTACTTCTCTGTCCTTAATTTTCAGAGATGTATACATGCTCCAGAGAGAGACAAAGCAAGAGAGAAAGCACCCCCCACGGGATGTCTTTACGTCAGAGTCGTTCCTCCTCTATGTCTTCATCCTGCCAGAATTTGGGGCACACACATGCTCCTGACATGGTTTTTAAGCTGCTGGGTCTGGAATTCAAACTGTGTTTGGCTATATGGGATCTGGTTCCCTCAACCACTAGGCTGAGGGGCCAGTGTCAGTTTGGAATCTTGCTGCCTGTTTTAGATTCCAAACCAGCCATCTGTTTAAACAGCTGGGTATTTTAGGGGAAAAAATTAGGTTTTAGTTTGTATTTAGGTTCCTCCTGTTTTGTTCTTTCCAACAGTATGTGCCTATGTGACCCTTTTTAATTAAAATGCTTACTGGAGGGGACACTAATTTTTTTTTTCAGTGCGATCTTAACCATACTAATATTTTCAAACCAGTGAGTTAAATAGAGATGAGAAAGTAATACTAATTCCTCCATAGGCAGAAATTTAAAATTTATAAAGGCTGCATGATTAGGTGGGTATCTTTCTTAATACTATCTGCTGAAACATTAGAGAGGATCAAAGTCAGTGGCTGAGAACAACGGTCAGAGTTGGGCAGGGCTAGGGCCTGTGCCTCAGTTTCCTTTCTGTGAAATGTAGATACTAGCAGTACCTACCTCATACTCACAGTACTAGAGGAGGCTATGTGTGGAGAGGACTTACTGGGTGCTTGGTATAGCACAAGCACTCTGCAAAGAGTAGCCACATGATATTGTCTCTGTGTTTTTTGGGAGTTCTCAGGTAGATAGCACTGACCTTAGCCAGCCTGGAGGAGAGACAGGAAACTGCTCTCTCAGGCGGACATCTGACTGCCATGGTCCCCTCTTCTCTTCACCTGGAGCCCCATGTGAGGGGGAACCAAAGCAAGTGAAAACGCTGTGAAGCTCTGCTTTCAGGCGCTGGAAAACAAATGCACAGAGCAGTCTCTGCCTCTGTTTAAATGCACATTGTAATCAGTCTTCTCCTGCCGCCTTTACAAGGATGAGTTAAGCGGTTCGTTGACATATCATTATCACATTTTGAAGTTAAACAGCCACAAGATCTATGAACTTTCCTCTCACAGTTAATTATTCCTGAATTTTTCTGAGCTCTCAAAACATATTCTATTTATTTAACAGTCCCCTGGGAGCACTGGCTGCCTTTGTCCTCATGACACAGCCAGTGGTGTAAAACCTCTGCATCTGTCAGATTGCTCCATGTGCAACATAATTGCCTGATTTCCATTTGAAAGTACAGCCCTGACATTAAAACGACATAGACCCACCAATGATCACAATGGTTCCCTGACACCTACAAGAGGAGAAGGCCGAGGGGGGGGCATAATGCAGGGATAAATATGTGCGCCAAATGCACGCTCGCCTTCACGCGGACCTGGTCTGAATCTACAGCTGCAGATGAAGTGTTCTTCAGGAACAACAACAACAACAAAAAAGGAATAAAGAAAAAGAAACCATTAGATTAGCATCAGCGTGAGTCTGCCGGAGCCAGATGGCTCTCTGAGGAGAGCAAGTTTCCCGCTTCTTCCAGTAACCCCAACCAGCAGACAGCAAGCCTGCTAAGAGGGGAGAGGAATGATCTCATTCCTCAGCCAGGCGCATGATTCGCCTCTTTCTGTCATACACAACTCAGCTGAAGGGAAGTTAGAAAAGAGAGAAAGGGTGAAAAAGAAGAGGCGGAGGCGGTTGAGTGGTTGTAAAGAATGAGCAAGCTGAGCCCAGAGGAGGGGGTGAGCTGCCAGGCCTTAGCCTGGCCTGATCCATTCAAGAACTGACTTCAGATGGCTACAGAGGAGAAAAGGGAGAGAAGGGGGCAGAGACATTTTGCTGTCTCCTCCGCTCATGTCCTTGAAGTTCACGTCCATACTCAGAGTTGCCCAAAAGGCTTGGGATGCAAAGTGGGGGAGGTGCAGGGGCTGGCTGTGGAAGCCCCAGGATTCACTGTGCCCCATTGGGCAGGGATGGTGGACATGCTTTCAAGTTCTTACTAATAAAGCTATCTGCCTCCCTCCATGGGCTGGGGGCCAATTTGGCAGTCCTTGGCCTGCTGGATCAGCCATCTGCTTGCACCTGCCATGCCCCTGGGACAGGTGCCTTGAGGTGGAGGGGCTGGGGGGCTGCATTGAGACACAGTTGTGTGGTAAAATGAACCTAACAGGTTGTGGGTATAAGAAGGCTCCTCTGCTCAAAGGCTCTAAGGCCAAGAGGAACTCCGCCTGGAGGCATTCTTCTGGCTCTGCTGGGCAGGGCATTCGCTACTCTTGAACAAGTCTGTAACCTGGACTGACAACCAGATGTCTGACTGGAAGCCATCAGGCAGACCTCCCAGTGCCGGTGTTAAAACACAGAGGTTGAAGATGCATGCAGAGGGCAGGCATCCTTCAAGTTAATCTGCCCTCTTAATGGGTGTTCATCCATCTCAGTTTGGCTCAAGGGCTCCAGAGACCTCTGACCCAGAGAAGAGGATCCAAGAAAGAACAAAGGTGTCCTTGGGAGTGCCTGGGGGCTCATGGAGCACTTCATCAGCCTGGCTAGGTTCCTGGATACCTCAAGTTAGTCTCCAGCAGTGTTTACTCAAAAGAATAAATAGTAGGCTCCAGGGTGATACCAAATGCGTGGAGAGGGAGCCGTTCACTTACAGCTGGAAGATTATTTAAATTATAATAAACATTGAAGAAATTCCGCCCATTTTCAGCCAGGATTTGGGCACCTGCTTTACCATTTCTGGCAGCCATAGGTATGACTGAGCATTAAACTGGCATATTCTACTGGGACCACAGAAGCAAAGCAAGCTGCCAGCTGGGAGCTGAAACTACAGGCTCTGGTTTAGCTCCTTCCAAGAGCAAACCAGAAAGCCCCCACCAAGTAACTGCTTTCCTTTTCTCTCCTAGGCAATGCTACCACCTAACAGTGCTCACCATTCTGGATGGAGTTCTTACTCAAAAATGGAACTAAACATTTCCTTTTTATTTATTTATTTTAAGAGGTTTCTGTCTTAAGGTACATGTGCTCACCTGGGAGAGAGGCAGAGACAGGGACAGTGAGAGACAAAGTTGAGAAATCATCTCCCAGGGGACATGGCCACACTGCAGTCCCTTCTCCTCCATTCTACTCCTGGGATCTTGGGCACGCACGCACATGCACCCGACATGATTTCCTAGCCACTGTGCCCAGGACTCAACCGCCGTCCACCATGTAGAAGTCCAGTGACATGACCATTTCACCATCTGCTGACCCCTGAGCTAAGGATTTCTAAGGGAAGCACACAGAGAAAGTAACAAGATAGACCTCTATTATCTTTCCTTAGCCTCACTTATGAAGGGAGATACATTGCTTAATAGAAGCATTGAAAAAAATAATAATACTGACATTTAAAAAAATTTCATTCATTCATTTAATTTGATTAGAGAGAGACACACAGAGAAAGAGAGGGAAAGTGAGAAAGCAAGCCACTAGGTCCAGGCATCAAACCATGGTCAGCCATGTAGGAGTGTCCAGCACCTTAACCACCATGTCACCTGCTGATGCCCTAATACTGGCATTTAAAGAGGGCTTACTTATTGTCAGTGCTGCCTCTTAGTGCTTTCTGTATATTTCCTATAATCCTCCTGACAACTCTATGAGGCAGGTCCTCTGATTATTCTCATTTTACAAATGGGAGGCTGAACTAAGAAAGGTTAAATAACTTTCCCAAAGTCACACAGATGGTAAGTGATAGAGCCAGAATTCAAACTTGGCTCTAGTCCCGATCCGCACCTCCAAACTATCCTGCTTCAGCGGTGTCAGGCGTCCTGCTGTGACTGTACACCCGCAGTGTGGTCTCGGGCTGCTGATCTCCCTGAGTTCCCTTTCCTTGTCCGGCAAGTCGGTACTAGAAGAGAGGCCTCACAGGACTGTTGGCAGGAGCAGAAACATGTAACGTACGTGTATGTGGGGCCCGCGCATGGCATCCAGGTGATGCTCCGTGTTAGTAGTTACTACTCTTATGACTATTGCTGTCATTTTTGTGCCCTTATAGTTCACTGAATTCTCCCCAAAATCCTGTGAGGTGAGAGGGACAGCTGTCACTAACTCCATTTTATAGCTGGTGAGATTGAAATAGTTCAAGAGCAAAAGTTTCTTCCCCCCTCTAAAAGTTTGATAATTAAGTCTGCCGATATAAACTGACAATAAACAGATTAATAAGAGGGAACCAGCAGTTAGTGTAATGCTGGACTCCCACGTAGTCAACCACGGTTCGAGTCCTGGACCCGGTGGCTTAAAACTCACGCTGGGCGCGTGTGTGTGCGTGCCCAAGATCCCGAGAGGAGAATGGAGAAGGGATTGCCGCGTGGCCATCCCCCCGGGGGGTGATTTCTCGCTTTCTGTCTCTATGTCTCTGTCTGTCTGGCGAGTGCACGTGCCCTATAGCAAAAAACCTCTCCAAAAAAAACAGAGTAATAAGAGAAAAAGTATACAAATGTATTATGTGAAAGCACATGGGAATCACACAAAGTGTGAAACTCTAAGAATGAAGAGATGGTCAAAATTTATATACCCTCTTCATAGGGGAAAGGGAAGCAGGGGATGTAGGCAAGTTTAGAAGAATAATTATGATATTTAGGGGAGATAAGTGAGCCCAAAGAATAAACAATGACCTGGGACAAAATTCATCAACTCTGGGTGTGGTGCCAACTTGAGTCTTCATTTCTTCTAATTTATTTTCTCTGATGAGGTTACAGAATGGGGGCCCAAAACAGCTCCATTTCTTCTAGAGGGACTTCCCTTAGATCAGGAATTTTTTTTTGGAGATGTTTTCGCTATGGGGCACGTGCGCTCATCAGAAAGACAGAGAGAGACAGAGAGACAGAAAGCGAGAAATCACCCCTCCCCCCCCAGGGGAGATGGCCACGCTGTAATCCCTTCTCCTCCATTCTCCTCTTGGGATCTTGGGCATGCACGTACACGCGCCTGGTGTGAGTTTAAGTCACCAGGTCTGAGACTCAAACCACGGTCGATTACATGGGAGTCCAGCGACATAGCCATTACACTAACTGCTGGTCCCAAGATCAGGAAATTTTAAAGAAGCTCTCTCTGTACTTGGGAGAGGCACAGGGATGAGAGACAAGGGAACAGGAGAGGGCCAGAGAGAGTCGTGGTTCTGAGGCTGCTTCTTTAATTAAGTATCCAGCATGGGGACTGGCAGATGGTGTAATGTTACATCGCTGGACTCCCACATAGTTGCCCACAGTTTGAGTGTCAGGCCTGGAGGCTTAAAACTCATGCCAGGTGTCTGTGTGTGCATGCTCAAGATCCCAAGAGGAGAATAGAGGAGAAGGGATTGTGGTGTGACCTTCCCCGCCCCCCCCCAGGGGGTGGGGGACTTCTCGCTTTCTGTCTCTCTCTGTCTCCCTGACAAGCATACATACCCTATAGCAAAAATTTCTCTAAAACGACCCAAAAACCCCACAATGTATCCAGCATGTCAAGGTGTCATACTTTGTTTTTCACTTTCCAAGCCCTGATAATGGTCACACCAATACAGCTGGTGGTGGAGCCTGGACGTGTAGCAACATCTCTTGACTCTGCCTTTTGCTTTTAATCTAATCTGGGTTTGCTGTGCTTGCTAGCCCACAGGCCACACCTACTCATTTCTAAACATAGCCACGGTTGCCATCCGGAGAGATTGGTACTAGGAATTCAACTCTGGCACCTGCCCTTCTTCCCTCATCCCTGAGATTGCCTGGGGATGGGGTCAGGTCCTGCCCATGGCCTCCTGGGAAATTGCTCAAAGACAATTCCTCTCGGGACAAACCAGAGACTAGCAAGGATGAGTTCCAAACTTATGTGTACCTTTAAGATGTTCTTTATTATGTATGTAAAAGAAATTCTCCCACAGATACTTTCTGACCCCCTCTTTCCTGTTTCCTCAGTTTGGGAAACCTCTGAGAAAAATTTCAACTCTATCCACTTTTTTTTAAAGTATTATTTTTATTTTATTTATTATTGTTATTTTAATTTGCTATAGGGCATGTGCGCTCACCAGAGAAATACAAAGAGAAAGTGAAATTGAGAAAGCAAGCAGCCAGGTCCAGGACTCAAATTGCAGTCAGTTATATGGGAGTCCAGCACTGTAATCACCATGCCACCTGCTAGCCCCCTTTTCTTTGCAGGAGACATTTCTGTACCTACAGCCTAAAGCAATAGAAAAGCCAGCTAAGGGGCCCTGGTGTCTGCACTTGGCCTTGTTTCCATATCTTTCCTAACTCTGCCCTTTCAGTGCGTTTCACAGCGTCCCTCCATTTTACTTCCAGAAAATCTCTGAGGATCACGGTTTTTGTTCTGTTGCTTCATTTAATTCCCAGGACTGAGAATGAAAATTATTTCCTTTCACAGCCCCTGGCCGAGCGCCTTTCGCAGTTGACTCTGTTATGGGGTAATTCATAAACTTCAGTGTCTGGGAATCTTTCCTCCTCCTTCCCACCACCCTCACCACCTTAAAATAGGCATTGCACACTATGACCTTCCAAGTTCAGGGTGTCCTCTGAGTTGGCCACTGGGGGCCCCCAGAGGTAAAGGTTCAATGGAGTCATCGCGATAGGAGCATAAAGCCATTTCTTCCTCTTCAAGGAAAGCAGAACTCACCCCATGCCAAATTTATCATCTATGAGAACAAATACAACTCAGAGTCTCAGAGTGTTGAGGTTGGCTTTGAACTAAGTTTCTCAAACTTGCTGGGATTATGTTTCTAGACTTTTATTCTCAAAGGGACGATGAGGAAGAGACAGAGCTTAAGAAGTTTTGAACTGAGAAATGAGGTTACTTTTGCTTAGCTGTCATGGAACTAAGTGTGTGTGTGTGGGGGGGCGCATTAAGCCTAGGGATTCATTTCTTCCCCATTATAACAAAACACAGAAACCAGACAGTGTAGAGTCATTAGGAAAGTGGTATGTCTTTGTTTGGTCTGAAAACTGCGGCTGATCAGCTGCCTCCACGGAGTCCTGCTCTGCTTCCCGACTCTCTGCAGGTATGACTTGGTCAGAAGCTGAAACAAGACAGAGGGATGAGCAGGTTAGTTAAGCCTCAGGCTAGTCTCTAGTGGTGGTGGTGGTGGTGGTGGTGGGTGTTCCATCTCAGTCAGGCCCCAGGGAACACAATGTGGGTGCTTGGGGCTTTCTTTCCTACCTCAGCGTGATCCCAGGTGGAAGGATGCCTTAATTTTCAAGGCCAATGGCCCATACCAAGCACTGCCTTGTAGCCAGATGATTTTTTTTCCTACACTGTGCCACATTTTGGTTTACATCTCAAACCTTTAATTTGCACAAGCCACATAATGGCCCTGAGCCTTCATTCCTGCCGGCTGGCCACAGGCCTCTGCGTTAGGAGCAGCAGCATCACCCAGGCCGAGGATGGACACAGCACTGCCGCTGTTTGTAGGGTGGCCATGTGACCAAAGGCAAGTTACTTAACCTCTCTGGGCTTCATTTTTTCATATCTGAAAAGTGGGGGAAATGATTATACCGACTTCCCAGGGTGGTTGTGATTACTAAATTAGACGACTTCTATCAAGTGATTAGCCCAATCCCTACCTCAACTCCACTCCCACTACCTGCACAAACTGAAGATACTGGCTAGCATTTGCAAGTATGGGTGGGAGCCCTGGGAAGAGGCACAGGTAAGAGCCTTCTCTGGGACTGTGAGCCAAGGCAAGAGAGAGGCAGCAGGATCAGAGAAGGAAGGAGACAAAATGGAGGCTGAGTGGAGGACACTGTCCCTAACTCCCTGTCCTCTCTGCGGTTTCATGTGCCAAGGCTGGCATCTGAGAGTTTAAAGCTCATACATCATTCACGTCCATAAAAATACAATTCAGTGCTCAACGACATTAAAGTTCAGAGAGGCGCACTTGTGAAATTCGAGGTTCACCTCTATCTAGTGTTCAGGAGGGGCTCCTATCTTCAGCCTTCTCTTCCCAAATTAATGAATGACTTTCACTCTCAGGAGCTGTCAGCACCTCAGGCTTCTTCCCTCACCTGGACTAGCGATCAGTTTTGTTAGAAAGTATTGTGATAAAATTTGTTTTGTATCTCTGTACTTGTACCAAAGCGGAAGTTACCTTAATAAGAACAGACATGGAGCTATAAACAGTTGGAGTGGCTGAAATGAGAGGGGATACAGAAAAGGAAATTAGTCCCTTTCCCCATGAGCTGTCAGGCTCTGTTCATGATGTGTTCCTGCTTCCAGAGGATCATGATGTTGTTCGTAACCAACACAAACACAGTCTCCCATGGCTTCATGACAAGGACACGTTTTAAAAAATACATCCTTAGGCGATTTCGTCATTGTGTGAACATCATGGAGTGGACCTACACAAACCTAGGTGATTTTGCCTATACCACACCTAGGCTCTGTGGTATAGCTATGATAATCTTAGGAGACCGTCCTGGTATGTGCAGTCCATCATTGGCCAAAATATCACTATGTAGTGCATGAATAGAATCTGCTCTATGGCTTAACACCTCACAAAGAATTTTGGAAGTAAGCTCAATACTAGAAATAATATTTCACAGATCCCTTAGTCTCCTCTTAGCCAGCACTTCATATTTCTTTCCCTTCCGATTTATCTTCTCAAACCTTTTTAAACTTGACACTTCATCCTCAATTCATCGCTTCTACCTCCACCATCCACTTTTCTCTCTTCTGTCCATTCTTCATTTTCTTGTTTGTGTCTTAACTGTGATATTTCATCTGCTCCACTTCTACTCTCATTTCCTTTAAACTCAATTCCTTCTTTCTCTTTTCTCTTCTTGAAGAAAAATTCCCTGAGCAACAGGGAGGAAAAAGTAACTGGCTTAGGTCGTGTTGGGAAAAGACCTGAAACAACTACTTTAGGCTGGACAGACTGAAGATGACTTCATCGATCTGAGTTAGCCTTACCTGATGACCCAAACGAACACAGTCAGCAAAGAATTGCAAGACTCTCCCAGAATGTGCACACACGTATGTGTGATATTTCACCCCAATCCAATCCCACCACCCAGATGGCAGAAGAATTTCCTTGTTTATTTGAGACAAATTCTCATTCATCTTCTTTCACTCCCATAAGAACTTGACTCACCACCCCAAGGACTAGTTATTAGTACCGTCTATTTAGCTATCATAACTGCTCAGTGCTGTGCACAGCGGGAAATGTGACTCTCTGCTTGGTTCCACTTTCTGATTAATTGAGAATTACAAGGTCCATCTTCGTTGGATAACTGACATCAAGATACTTGGGATAACTTAAACACCAAAACTAAATTGAACTAATTTAGTCTTTGCTAGAAAATTCAGAGAAAACTTCAGGACTCAAAGAACATCAGGGTCATTACAGACATGTAGACTTGAGAAGTACAAGAGAATTGCGATTTCCATTTGATACAATGTGAAAGTGGCTTTTGGTATGTAACACAGCACAAGCCTCATGGGCAACAGGGGTGCCATATCAAGCACATTATATCTTTTTAAAATCTCTCTTCTATGTTTTAAAATGTGGTTAAATGTTCAAAGGAAAATTTTATGACCTACCAAGCCACAAAACAGTATACGAGGGGACTTCAAAAAAGTATGGAAAAATGGAAATAAAGAACAAATTTACTTTGCTGCAAAAAACATTTGAAACCCGTGCATAGCTTTTGAAGATCCCTCACGTGCATGACAATCCCATTTTTGTAAGAAAAAATGCACTTATGCATATGTACACACAGACCCTCATGCATGTAACTCAGGGAAAATGTTCACCCAAATTTTAATAGTGGTCTCTCTGGGTGATGAAGTTACAGGCATTTTTGTTTCTTTCTTTTGGTTTATCTGTATTTTTTAAAAATAATAATAATAAGATATTCTATAGTAAAAATGAGCAATCTTTAGTTGGACAGACCATACTGCTCAATATTAAAAGCAGTGTGGAAATGCATTTCAGTATAGATTAAGACCAGATTACATGAAAAGAATGATTGCAGAATCTCCTTATTTGGAAAACACCCATCTCATTGTCAAATATAGACTGGAGGGGAGAGGTCCTGGAGCACACACAGTGATAGCACACGGGTCCAGGGCAATGCTGTCTGTCACCTCGGGGAATAGAGGTGGAATTTGAATCATTGTCTGGTATTATAGGCAGGGATCTGTAAGTCATACAGCATATGATATGGGGCTACAAGAAAGGTTTTATATCTGCCATAAAATAATTGCTTTTTTTCTATTTTATTTATCTTTGCATTTCTGCATCTGTTTCTAACTTCCTAGATAAATTCTAAGTTGGATCCTCCAGGTATTGCAACACCATAGCTTCCACCCATCCGAAGCTTCACCCCCTCAAGCTTCAACTGGCAGCAGACAGCCTATTGCTGACTGCTCATCTAGATGGCTCACCAGGCCCTGCTTGACCCTTACTCTGCATTGTCTCAGTTACTATGGAGCAGATCCAGAGGTATGAACAGAGAAAGGAGCCATGACTTCCTGAAATGAAATTGTTAGAAGGAAACTCTACCCTGAGAGTAAGAATCTGTCCTGGGGATAAAAAGGGTGCAATAGAGTCTCCATGATGCAGGGAAGTATTGCCATTCAGGAATCACCCCAGTTGACTCCTATATTCTATTCATGGGCAAAACAACAACAACAACAACAACATACTATGAAGGAAACCAGTCTCCAGCTATCAGAAGTTCCCCATTTATTATTATTATTATTATTATTATTATCATTATTATTATTTGGAGACGTTTATGCTATAGGGCACGTGTGCTTGCCAGAAGGTCAGAGAGAGACAGAAAGTGAGAAATCACTCCTCAGGGGGGATGGTCATGCTGCAATCCCTTCTCCTCCATTCTCCTCTCGGGATCTTGGGCATGGACGCATACACGCCCGACGTGAATTTTAAGCCACTGGGTCCTGAACTCGAACCATGGGAGTCCAACGACATAGCCATTATGCCAATGGCTGGTCCCAAGCTTCCTCATTTTTCAGAGATTAGGGCAGATCCTGGCCTATGCATGTCTCCACCGTCAGTCACATCTCCTCTAGGAGGTTATGTAAATCCTCAGTGTTTATTCCAGCAATGCTCATTGTCAGCTGGGACTGTGACCTCCATGTATGGATCCTTTCTGTCCCACTTACCTAAAGCTCCTTCCATAGAACAGAGTTTTTAAAAAAAATAAATAATAATACCCCGTAGCGCCTCTTACAGTTTTGAGCTAAGCTCACATATTTCTCAGGTGAATGAACTCCCAGCAGTGACTAATCAGTTGGCATGCCTGACACACCTTTAGCGCTCGGCAGTTTTCAGACCATATCTGCTATCAATATGTTTCTATGGAGCAGATCCTCTATTACTCCTTTCATTTTCTTAAAGAGAAAAGTGAATGGAAAACGAGTTGCTCAAAGTGGCACAGATGTTCACTGAGTACCAGGACCTGAACTCGGCCCCAGGAATTCTGATTACAATCTTGTGCTCTTTCCATTATGACAGCAGTTCCCAAACTCATTGGATCATCAGAATCTCCTGTGAAGCTGCTTATCAAACCATAGTGGCGGGCCCTACTCCAGACCTACTAAATTGTTCTTAGGAGGCTCAGCCATCTGTACTGTCAACATGTTGTCCCATAGATGATTCTGCTGCCTGTCACCCACCACCTCCCTAGGGCTCCCACATCAGCTCTGACATGATACACCTGTCTATGATGGCAACAGTGACAGCAAGTGACGTTAGAGGCTGACCCAACACAGAAAATCCTATTTTCCATTAGTAACCCCCTGATCTGTAGAGTTAATTTACACCTTCCAGGACCCTCTTTCTATAGAATATTGCTGGATTAATAGCTCAACTTCTAGAAATCCTGAGGTTAAAAACAGATATACCATTCATCAACCCCAAGGAAGAAAGGTCAGGAAAGTTTGACAACCACACTTAGGAGGCCTCAGAAAGGCTGTTGAAAGGCCTCTGAGCTGAGAATAGGGACTCAGCCCTCCTTAACAGCCTGGTTTCAAACCAGCTGGACCCCAACTAATTGGCTATGTCTGGAAAGGGTGCTTGTATTGTCAGGACTCTGTAAAGCAAGGGGCAAGGGCCCTGACAATTATGTGACCACAAACCCATCCAAGAATTACCCATCAAGGGGATTGCATACGGTGGGAAAGTTCTTCCTGTTTGGAAGAGTGAGTAAAATTTGGAGGGAATCAGCAACCCCCAAGCAGGCTAACCTCTGAACTAGGTCAGGAGGGAGACCCTCACCACTGAAGTTCTCCAGAGAAACAATTAGGAGTTGGCTTCAAAAGTTCCCTAAGCTGACTTAACCTGCTGCAAACCCAACAAGCAGACACCCTCAGACTATAATTTATAAGGAGGGGGTCACCTCCAGAGAGGCCCCTGGGCTACTTGCCTAAGCGCTGTTTGTGAGTCAGTCTGGAAACCATTACTATAATCGTAGCGAGAATCAGGAGACAAGTCGAAATCCTAAAAACACATTAACAGGGGCCTGACGAAATGCCAGAAGAGTCTGCCAGCAGGGACAGCTGGAAGGCCAATTTTTTAGTCAATACTGAAAGGTGGTTGCTTAAATATCTAAGTCAACACACACTGATTTCTCTCTGGCTCAATACACCCGTTTAATTGCACTAGGGAATCTCCTTACTGACACTTCCAACACCCAAATACAGAGTTGAGTGAAAGAAAAGTGTGTTACTGAAGTGCAAATGAGGTTCTGGGTATAGCCTGCAGGCCTCAGTCCTGCTGAGTTTCCTATGGCCCAGGCAGAAAGTGGCTGGGCAGGGATAGAATGGAGCCTCCTTTTTCAAGGTGAGAGGAGGGATGAGCAACCTCAGCTGGCCATCAGAGAGATGCCTTTGTGGTGTCTTCCTTGCCACTTTGCTACCTGGGCTGCCAAGGCTCTGAGATGTTCTCTGTCAGGAGCAGAGGACAGGGAGGGAGGTAAAAGAACATCTGCTTCCCATACCTGGGAGCTGAGTGGTATGAAAAATCACACAACGCAGAGTTATCATGTTTGGCAACCAAGTGACACATATGATCAGTGAGGTAAGTCTTGAACTTCCTCTCAACTGCCTACAGACTGGGAGCAGGTGGTTCTCCAAGTTAGCAATATCCTTCAACCTAATCTCCAGAGTCCTGGCAGCTCTTGGCTACTGATGAAGATGCTTCTCCACATTGATGCCCACAGAGGAGCCAGATAGAACAACCCAGGGGTTGGTAGCCAATGTGGGCTGACCTTCTAGTGGTAGGTCACCTACCTCAGCTACCTTCACCTACCTCTAGCTAAGCATGATGGATCAGCCCTAGCTGGGCCTGAAAATCCATGACAGCTGGTCTCTGTACCATGATAAAAAGGCAGGTCCCATGAGCAGGTGACATGAATCCTACAAGGCTAAATTCTGTGTCTGATGTCAACCATCAGAGGTAAAGAAGAAGCCCATGTCAGTGGTAAACTCAAACTCAAACACCTAGGGAAGGTATAAAAGCAATATTGATTTGGTAGCTCTGGGTTTGGTTAACTTTGGGTCCGAAGTCCCAGATGACTGTGTGCTCATTTCTATAAGCCTCTGGTACACACCAGAACAAATAAACTGTGCTTCATCAATACTCTTGCTAATCAAACTAAGCAATCAAGAAGTCTGTTCAGAGGGGATCCCAAGAATACAGAGAAACATGGCTAGCCATCATGAAGCCAGGAATCCAAGCACAGAAGCCTACCACTTGGGAAATCTATGGACTCGTCTCAGTCTGTTACTCAAAGAGACTATATGGATGCAGTCTGCCCAAGACAAACAAGCCTGAAATGAAGATCAAGTTATATTTCTCCTACTTATGAGTAATGGGACTTATGTAGATTTCATAACCTTTTTGAACTTCAAGTTTCTTTCTGCTGTATAGGGAGTGGTAATTGACTATTATATAAAATGAAATAATATAGGTAAAGTGCCCAGACTAAGCAGTTGCCCACTAAATATCAGCTCTCTACCCTTTCATTTTTTCTCCCCAAACTGAGGTGACCTCACTTCGTCCTTCTCTAGTCTTTAGGGTTGGATGTTTGTCTGTCCAGCAAAGCAACAGTTAGAAGAGTACTGAATCAGGGGACCTGCTGAGAGATTTCTGCCTCCTGCCTCTGAACAAGACACCAGGCCTCACCAACCCCATTGGTTCCCCTGTGGAGGGTCCCTCATGCCGCAGAAGCTTTAAAAATGAATTTGTTCACCTTCTCAGAATATAGACTTTAGACCTCCCCTTCTGAGCTATTTATGGAACAGTCACTTAGAAAGTCAAATGGCAGAGACCTTGGAGCCCTGGCAGTTGCTTACTTCACTCAGGCTTTATGCTCATACCTTTTGCATGTAGATAAGTAGTTCAAGGCCAAGACTGTTCAAGGAGGCTGCCCATCTCTCTGACCTATCCTGTACGGCTTTCTTCCTCTTCCAGAATTCCCCATCCACGCACTGTGAACCTGCCAAGCTTGTGTCTGCCTTAGGGCATAGCACTGTTGTCTGGAAGTCCCTATCATGGCCACATGGTGGCTCTTTCCCGTTATCCAAGTCTCAATCATCATCAGAGGTAAAGTGGACAAAAAGATGACAGGGTTACACTTTATGGTCGTGTCAATGCCACAAGGTCTCTACAGAGCACCAGATGATGGGAAAAGTTGAGAAAGCCTCAAGTGCTCTTTAGCAGGAGGGGACACCTGACCATGATGTCCAAAGAAACTTCATTTTGTGGGTATGTGGAGATCAGTAGGATCTTTCAGATGAGGACTTCTGGGGTAAAGGGAAGTCAGAACAAAAGTTTATTGAAAATACAGCAAACAAGAAGTCAGAAGCAACCTGCCCTGGGACCCCAGACTCCACTCTGGCTCTTCCCCACCCACATGAAACCCCCCCCCAAATCTGCATATTCTCTTCCCATGTAGCACAGAGCTGGGGCAACTGAGACCAGTCCTGTTATACTCACTATCCACTGCGTCACTACTGGGGAGCAGCTGCCAACTGTCCGGGTACCTCATGACGGCAACGGTTCTCCTGTCTTGGTTGCCTTGAGTACCTGCTTCTACAAAAAAAAGTGCAAGAGGAAGGAAAACTGAGAAGGGACACACACTTCAAGAGTGGCTGAGGTGGGGGACTTTCTTTGATGCCTCTGAACATTAGCAGACCTTGGATGTCTCCTTCCAGGCAGTGTCTGGAAGGATGGTGAAAGACAGGACGGAGGCTCCCACTGTTAAATATCATGCCAGAGAAGCTCAGGGGCATTTAATGCATCTAAGGCACACATCACCTAGGAGACGAGCCAAAGCACCTGCTTTTAGGAACAAGGGGAGAGAAGGAGGAAGGTCTGAGGAAGCACTCTCCTGGTGCTTGCTTTCTTGTTCCTTTGCCTCCTTGGTGTCTTCAGGTCAGTGTGGGGTGGAGGCTGCCATGCCCCAGGGCAAATGACACTGCTGAGCTCCTGCTCTCTACACTGCTTTGGTTTGAGATCTAGTTCTTTCATTGTTGTTGTTTAGGTTTACTTATTTATTTCTTCCAGGAGCAAGAGAGACAAATGGAGAACAAGAGAGAGAGACAGACAGCATCCCCAATAGGTTCTTGGAGCCATGATCCATCCCTAGCCTTAGCCAACCCTGAATCATGGGTGCACGTGTGCCTGGCACACTCAGGGAGGTCTTCAGATGCGAACCCAGAATCTTCTGGGTCAGCCTTGTAGAACATGGCATTTACTACTGTGTCACCATCCACACCATCCCCCAAGACCCCAGTTCTTAATGCTGGCTGCACATTAGAACCATCAGAAATTTGTTCCCCAACCTCAGCTCTTCCCCATGTCACTCCAAAAGCCAGTGTGTGTGTACCATGGAAGTAAACTGAGGGAAGAGGCAACTTGAAGAGAATATGAGCTCGTATAATAGTCTTTCCATGTCCCCTCCTCCATTACTGGCTTTGAGAGACTCTGTCATGCTGTATAAAGATGGCAGTGGTCATTGGGAGAAAACAGTTTGGGTTTCTGGAGGTTAAGAGGGTTCCTGAAGGGAACCAGCAGTTAGCGTAATGGCTATGTCGCTGGACTCCCACGTAGTCAACCGCGGTTCGCGTCTCGGACTCGGTGGCTTAAATCTCACGCCGGGCGCGTGTGCGTGCGTGCCCAAGATCCCGAGAGGAGAATGGAGGAGAAGGGATTGCGGCATGACCATCCCCCCTGGGGGGTGATTTCTCGCTTTCTGTCTCTATGTCTCTCTCTGTCTGTCTGGCGAGCACACGCGCCCTATAGCGAAAACCTCTCAAAAAAAAAAAACAACAAAAAACTGGTAGAGCTCTTGTCTCCTCTTCTCTTTCTCTTTCTGCCTTTCTCTGTTTTTTAATTTTTTTAAATTTTTAGAATTTATTTATTTATTTATTTGCTTTAGGGTGTGTGTGCTCACCAGAGAGACAGAGAGACAGAGAGACAGAAAGCGAGAAACCACCCCCAGGGGGGATGGCCACACCACAATCCTCCCTTATCTTCCATTCTCCTCTCGGGATCTTGGGCACCCAGGCACACATGCCCAGCGTGAGTTTTAAGCCTCTGGGTTCGGGACGCAAACTGTGGCCCACTACGTGGGAGCACAAAGGAGAAACCACTCAAAAAAAAAAAAACAAAAAAAAAAAAAAAAACAAAAAAGAGGGTTCCTGAAGAAGTAGTGTCTGCCCGGGGTTTACCCTGAGAGTTTCTGGCCTTCCTGTCCTGCCGGAGACCCCAGTGCTGGCTACAGGGGAGATGAGGGCACCAAGAGACACACACTCTCCCTAGAGTCATATGGTTGACGTTCACAGCAGAAAATCTAAGGTTGCTGAGGAAAGAAGCAAGAGAAATATATAAAAGTTAAAAAAAAAAAAAGAAAAGAAAAGAAAAGAAAAAGCCAGATCTTCCCTTCTTGGGACCACATAGATGGCTATGTGATTTCTCTGCAGGAGGTTCCTGGTCAAGGGATTAGGGTTGAGAGCTGATTTCACTCGGAGGAAAAGGTACCCTTTTTCCTCTATTGTAAGTCATGCTTGGGTCCTTTCTACCTCACATTCCACAAAGGCATGCATAGAGACACTGTTTAGGGTCTGCAGAAGGGGCAGACTGTGCCCCCTACCTTTTCACACCCTTTCTCCCTCTTTTCCTCAGATACATATCAAGATTTTTCTTCTGAAGAACCCTTACTCATTTTCTACTCTGTCTCTATTATCCTAGCTTAGAACTGAATGTAGGATAGATTCTATGAGTCAGGCTCTGTTCCAGAATACTGCTTCTCAAACTGGAAAGCTTGGGAAGCCCTTGCAGGTGAGCAGGAGAAAGCAGGGAAGGATCTGTAAAAAATTCTGCCTGCCCTGCTGCTGAAACCTCCAGTCCTGTCTTCCTCCCTCCCACAATCACGTCATAACATCCCCCTTCTCCCTTTACTTAGCCCATTTCTGACAACAAAGAAGAAAAAGAAAAGAATAAGAAGGAGGAGAAGGAGGAGAGGGAGGAGAAGGAGTAGAAGGAGAAGGAGAAGAAGGAGAAGAAGAAGGAGAGGAGGAGAAGGAAGAAGAAGAAGAAAAAGAAGAATAAGAAGAAAAGAAATTTGTTTGCCCCTCTCTGGGAACCCTCTGTACTGTCTCCACATGTTAGTGGAGGGGAGGGGCTTATATTGATAGATGAGGTACTCAGAACCTAGCAATTCAAGGGCCCATAACACTTACGAGGGTTACTCTTGGTCTTTAAAGGCCAAAGGTCTTTCTTACTTTTTATTTAGATCTTTTTATCTCAATGTCTCTAACAGTAAAATGTGGCCAAAGATAACCACAGCACCCAGGGATACAGAGGTGAGCTGGTAATGGAATGAAAGCATTATGAAAGCAATTTTACAAGTTCTTCAAATTACCATGTCTTTATTGGAACAGCCCCATTAAAAAAAAAAATACCATAATACCTGTGTCCCAAAGAGACACCCTGTATCTCTTAGCTATGTAAATAGGGATCCTCTGCATTTAAAGGTTTTCCTTTATGGGCCCTTGGAGCAGCTGAAGATTAGCTCCTGTCAGAATGAATTTATTTCCTTCTCCAGTTTACTTCAGAGGTTAGGAAGCTTTGCCTTCTGCTACTGGGCTTCCCCTTCAGGTCAGCAGTTCCCTGTTAATGAGACTGTAGCAACAGAGCCCTGGGTTTGTGGGGTGGAATGAGTCAGGTTTGCAGCTGATGGACATCCTATTGTTGGAGGTGTTTTTTGAGGTACCATGAGCCAAACACTGATCCCTAGTCCAACTAGCATTGTTTTATTTTACCCTAAGCTCCTAGCCACTTGCCATTCCTTGAATTGTTTGAGTCACAAATTTTGTTATTCTTCCCAGTTTTGAAAGTCAAAAGAACAGGAAAGCAGAAGCTTCCAGTGTATGAGGAAAGCCTCTTCTGCAGACTCCTCTGTGCCTGAGGGGCACAGGGAGTACTCTGAAGTCATCTTCAGCTACAGAAGTATATGATGGGATATCTCCTTTCTGAGACAGAGGAGAACCTTTGAAACTAATGCTTGTGGAACCCTTTAGCTGGGTCTACCAGGCTAGCTCAAGGAACATCATAATATCTGGGATGCAACAGAAGAAAAGAAAGAGGAGGAGGAGAAGGAAGGAGAAGAAAAAAAAGAAGAAGGAAGAGAAGGAGGAGGAAGGAAGAAAAAGGAAGAGGAGAAGAAGGAGAAAAGAAGTTTGGCTAAGAAAAGGCCTGATGGAACACTGAGAGCCAGCCAAGGGAGGTGACCATGAATTTGAAACATCACAAGATGGTGTTTAGAGCAAGATGGTTGAGGTGATCAGTGGTGGTGGTTGTGGCTATTTCTGTTGATTCTGTAGACCCAAGGACCACAGCAAACACATCTAAAGTGGTTAGTAGAAAAAATATCCCACACTAATGATGAGATTTCTCTTTTCTGCTTACCTTCGTGGTCAAGTGGAATTTTAGTTCTTCCCATGATCTCATCCTCTGTCACATTCAGATTCTGGATCAGAAAGTATGTGGTCATTTTTCCTTTACCTTTCACTTCAATTTCACCCCTCTCAATGATTTCAAACCCTTGATTTTCCAAGGCTCTGCACAGAGGTGGAAAAATGTGCCAGATATCAATGATCTATAATGCAAGAGTTCGCTACAATACCAAGGGTGATGTACAAGGAGAATTCCAGGACTTAGGATGCACAAAAATGAGGAGGGAGGTTCTAAGATATCAGCCAGGACTCGCTGAGAGGGACATAGGCAGAGGAGAAGGAAAACATGAAGGTAGACACTCAAGCCGGGTAACAAAGCCAAGGGTGCTCCTCCCCAAGCACCTGATACACCCCACAGTTGTCATCATACACACCTAACTACCCAAGCTGTCTCCACTATGACTTCTGGGTGCCAATGAACTGAAGAAGAGTATAGGGAAGGGACCATGACAAGAGACAGACCTATGGGATAATGTAAAATGTTTACTTGTTTGTTTACTTACTGATAGCTAAGTATTGTTATAGAAAAAACAAAGAATCATGCAGACTAGCAATATCTCAAATTCATGGTCACCTCCTTTGGCTGGCTCTCAGGGCTCCATCAGACCTTCCCTTGGCCTTTGCCAGTTTCATAGGGAATTCAGACCCTCACAAAATTCTCCTTGCCCCTCACCACCACTTGTCACCTGCCTCCTTCACTCTCAAGCTGCAGACTCTGCCACCTACTTCATGACTTAATTCATTTGCAATATCATGATCATGACAGGAAGAGCCTACAGTTTTCATCTTGTTGATCCCATCTCATTGCTTCCTCCCACTGTCTCAGAAGATGGGACATCTTTGTGTTTAGTGACACCACATCCACTTCCTTTCTCACCTCTGCTGGGCCTGGCTCCATCAGCTACCTCTCTCTTATCTTCAGCTCCCTCTCTATTTATATCATCCCTTCTACCTACCAGCATGCTAAAGAGAAGAAAATGACTTCACACTCCCTAGCTCCTGTTTTCATCCCATACAAATTCTCTCTTCCTTTTATCCTTTGACTTATTACCCACTGTCTATCCCTACCATCCTACTACAAAAACTTTTGATAATGTCCCAAAAGTCTCTGGTAAACATTTTTCAGTCAAAATGCTGTGATACAAAACTATCATAAAAAAAAAAAAATGTTCTCAGTCTTAGTGTACCAGGCATAGATGAAACATAAATGAAGTTCATGTGTAGACTTGGGCCCCATCCCCAAGGTGACTCATTATTTATATGCAAATACTTCAAAACCTGGAAAAAATTTAAAAAACACTTCTAGTTCCAATCATTTTGGACAAGGGATACTCAACCTGTCACAGAGATTAGTAACGAAAGAGCAGAAACTTAGTATCTGGACCCCTAGGTTATATCTATGCTCTTCTTTCTAATCCCCCTGAGACCTGAAGCATGTTATTAACCTCTTTGTGTCTTTTTTTCCTCACTGTAAATAATTATATATCTTTATATAAATGTTGCAAAATAAATGAATTAACAAATATTTAGAAATCTGGCACAGAATGTAGCCTATTGTAAGTGCCCAAAAATGTGTAAGCATTGTTTTTTGCATATCTTTATTTCTGTATACATTTTAGTTTAAAAAGTTAAACTAGGCCAGCAGATGACATAGTGGTTACATCGCTGGACTCCTACATGGTCAACTATGGTTCAAGTCCTGGACCCCGTGGCTTGAAACTTATGATGGGCAAGTGTGCATGCATGCCCAAGATCTTGGGAGGAGAATGGAAGAGAAGCAATTGCAGCATGACCATTCTCCCAGGGGGTGACTTCTCACTTCCCCTCTCACTGTCTCTGTTTCTCTCTGGCAAACTCATGCATCGTACCGGGAAAACTTCCTTAAAAAAAAAAAAAAAACACACACACACACACAAAACTGAATTTTCTTTTTCCACTAGACTAAGGGTCAGCAAACTTTTTCTATAAAAGACCAGATAGTAAGTACTCTAAGCTTTGTGGACCATATAAGCTCTGTTATAATGACTCAACTCTGCCATCAGTCATAAGCAATATGTGAATAGAAGAGTGTGACTAGGTTCCAATAAAACTTTATTTACAAACAATAAGTAGCAGATGATTTGATCTGTGGGTTATAATTTGATATTCTCAGCACTAAACTATACTCCCCTTGAGAGTAAAAACTTTGTTATAGTAAAGGCTCAACAATTTTATTTTTTTTCATGGACATCAAAAAGTTCAAGGAAAAATTGAAATTAAAGTTCAAGTTTATTTGGGTGCAAGCAAATTTTGAAATCTATGCATACCATTTTTCATAAAACACATTTTCCACTAAGTGTTTGAAGATCTCAAGTCTGTTTTGGGTGGCACAATGTCTTCTGTAAGCCAGGAGGCATGGGAGAAAAAAAAATGGGTTTCCTCCTCTACCCTATTCCATGGCTGTGTACATTTTAGAAAGAAGGAAATACAAAAGAAGGTATGAATACATGAATGGCTACCTGTAGGCTGTGGGGCTGAGGTGCACTTTGTTGGGAAGCCCATGACTTTCCATCCTAGAGGCCGTGTTCACAGTGTCCCCAAACAAGCAGTACCGGGGCATCTTGTCTCCCACGACACCTGCTAAGACTGGTCCAGTATGGATTCCCACTCTGATCTGTACAGAGAAAATCTTACTGAAGAGAGATCATCTAATACTTTCACTTTTTTTTTTTTTTAGAGAGGTTTTTGCTATAGGGCACAGATGCTCGCCAGAGAGACAGAGAGAAAGAGAGAAATCACTTCCCAGGGGGGATGGCCACCCTCCCCCCCCATACTCCTCTCTGGAGCTGGGGTACACACACACACACACACACACACACACACACGCACATATGCCCATTGTGAGTTCAAGCCAACCTGGTCTGGGACTTGAACCACCCTGGTCTGGGACTTGAACTACATGGGAGTCCAGTCACATAGCCATTACGCCAACTGCTGGTCCCCTAATACTTTCACTTCTAAATTAAGGTACAATTTACATGAAAATACAGATATTTTAAAGTGTTTAGCTCCACAAGTTTTGATAAGTGCATATTGCCCTGAAACCAATATCCAAAATAAAATGTAGAGTAGTTCCATTACTTTGCAAAATTATTTTGTGCCCTTTCCCAGTTTAGCTATCTCTCCACCATCTCCCAAACAGAGATAGCCAATTTATTTCTTTTACCAAAGGTTAATCTACCTCTTTAAGAATATCACATGGGACCAGCAGTTAGCGTAATGGCTATGTCGCTGGACTCCCACATAGTCGACCACGGTTTGCGTCCCAGACCCGGTGGCTTAAAACTCGCGCTGGGTGCGTGTGCCTGTGTGCCCAAGATCCCGAGAGGAGAATGGAGGAGAAGGGATTGCAGCGTGACCATCCCTCTCCGGGGGGTGATTTTGTCTCTATGTCTCTGTCTGTCTGGCTGGCAAGCACATGCACCCTATAGCGAAAACCTCTCTCAAAAAAAAAAAAAAGAATATCACATAAATAACACCATAGCATATACTTTTTATTTCTGGCTTCACTTAATCAACATAATGGGTTTGAGATTCATCCATATTGTCGTATGTGTCAATAGTTTATTATTTTTATCACTGAATCATAGTCTAAGACTACATGTCATTTCGTTTTCATAAACATGTAGATTATTTTCAGTTTGGAGCTATGTAACTAAGGCTTCTAAAAACACTTCTGGTCTGATATTTTTGTAGATATGTTTTCATTCCTCTAAGGGAAGTGCTTAGAAGTGGAATTTCTCAGAGTCACAAGGTAGATGAATACCTAATTTTATACAAACAAAACAAAACCAAAAAATGCCCAAAGTTGTATACCATTTTACTTTCCTATTACCAATGTGACACTTCCAATTGCTCCAAATTTTCATCATCATTTGGTCTTCTAGAGGGTGCGAAATGATATCTTGTCATGGTTTTAATTTGCATTAAGACAGTAGCTAGCGATGCTAAGTACATTTTAATGCATATATTATTCATGCACATATTTTCTTTTGTGAAAAGTCTGTTTAAGATTTTTGCTCATTTAAAAAATTGAGGGCCAGCCAGCAGGTGGTGTGATGGTTAAGGTGCTGGACTCCCACATGGTTGACTACAGTTCAAGCCCTGAACTTGGTAGCTTAAAAATCACACCAGGCGCATGTGCGTGTTTGCCTAAAATCCCAAGAGGAGAATGGAGGAGAAGGGTTTGCTGTGTAGCCATCACGCTGGAGGCTGATTTCTCACTTTCTTTCATTCTCTGACTCTCTCAGGTGAGTGCACATGCCCTGTGGCCCCCCAAAAAACCTTAAGACAATTAGGCTGTTCATCTTTTATTGTTAATGTGTCTGAGAGTTCAATATATAGATTTGAATATGTAAGATACATGTATGACAAATATTTTTCTCAGTCTATAAGTTTGTATATTCATTTTCTCTTATAAGATGAAACTTAATTTGACCTTGATAAACTCATTTATTAGATCTTGTAATTTTCTATAGTTTGTATAAGATTTTTTAGGTGCACAGTTATTTGGCCTGCGAATAAAAATCATTCTACTTATTCCTTTCCAATCTTTATGTTTTATATTTCTTTTCCTTGCCTTATTTCACTGGATAGACCTCTTAGTATACTTTGAGTAGAAATGGTTGACTTTGTATTTATCCTGCTTGGGTTTGCTAAGCTCTTACATATATGGGTTGATATCCTTTATTAATATTGAAAATTCTCAATCATTGTCTCTTTAAATATTTCTTCTGACCTATTCTGACTTTATTCTCCTTCTAGGACTCCAGTTACATGTGCAGGAGTCCATTTGATATTGCTCTATAGACCTAGGGAACTATTTTCCACTTTAAAAAAATTTTTTAGAGAGAGATTTTTGCTATAGCGTTCCAGCACTCACCAGAGAGACAGAGAAACAAAAAGTGAAAAATCACCCCCCTACCCAGGGGGATGGCAATCTCTTCTCCATTACACTCAGGATTTGGGGCATGCATGCACACTCACCCAGTATGAGTTTCAAGCCTCTGAGTCTGGGACTCAAACTGCAGTCAACTACGTGGGAGTCCAGCAACATAACCATTATGCAATCTGCTGGCTTTTCAGAGAGTTATTTTATTTAGCTTTATTTATTTTTATTCATTTATTTTAACTTGACCAGAGAGGGAGAGAGAGAGAGAGAGAAAGAAAGTGAGAAAGCAAGCCACTGGGTTTTGGACTCAAATCATGGTTGGCCATGTGGGAGTCCAGTGTCCTTAACCAACCATCATGCCACCTGCTGGCTCCCACATTTTTTTTTAATTGTTAAATTGTTTTGCTAGAGGACATGTGTGCTTGCCAGAGACAGAAGGAAAGCAAGAATGCACCCCTCGTGGGGCATGGTCACGTTGTAATCCCTTCTCCTCTCTTTTCTTTTGGGATTTTAAGCACATATGCAAAGACCTAGCATATGTCTCAGGTGACTGGGTCCAGGACTCAAACTGCATAGTTGGCCAGGTAGAATCAGGCTGCTTTAACCATCAGGCCATGGAGCTGGCCTGGTTCTTTATTTATTTATTTATTTATTCATTCATTCATTCATTCATTCATATTCTGTTTATTCTTGGTGTTCCAATTTGGGTACTTTCTATTTATATCTTTAGATTCCCTGATTCGTCCCTCTACTGTGTCTAGACTCTGTTATGCCCATAAAATTGAATTCTCTATTTCTGCTTTCTGATATTGCCTTTCATTTCTATTAGAGATATGGATAGAGATAAAAGTAGAGTTACAGATGAGTTAGAGATAAAGACAAATTATTTCCCATGTTCACACTTGCTTTTCTCTCTCTTTTTTCTTCTTTTTTCTTTTGGAGAGGTTTTTTTGCTATAGGGCGCGTGCATTCTCCAGACAGACAGACAGAGACATAGAGACAGAAAGCAAGAAATCACCCCCCAGGGGGGATGGTCATGCTGCAGTCCCTTCACCTCTATTCTCCTCTCGGGATCTTGGGCACGCACGCACACGCTCCCGGCGTGAGTTTTAAGCCACTGGGTCCAGGATGCGAACCGCGGTCGACTACGTGGGAGTCCAGTGACATAGCCATTACACTAACTGCTGGTTCCCGCTTTTCTCTTTTTTTTAACAGCTCCCTTTAAAATATTTATCAAAGTTATTTTAAAGACTTTGTTTGATAATTCCAACATCTCAACCATCTCTGAATCTGTTTTTATTAACTATTTCCTCTATTGCTTTTTCACTATACTGTCATTTTCTTGTTTCTTTTTACATCTCATATTTCCTGTTTATTTATTTATAGAGGCATTTTTGCTATAGGGCTTGTGTGCTCACCAGAGGGACAGAGAGACAGAAAGCAAGAAATCCCTCCCAGAGGGGATGGCCACACCACAATCCTTTCTCCTCCACCCACCTCTCGGGATTTTGAGTGCTTGCACACATACATGCCTGGCATGAGTTTCAAGTCTCTGGATCCAGGACTTGAGCTGCAGTTGACTACATGGGAGTCCAATAATGTAACCATTATGCCATCTGTTAGTCTCTGCCCCTCATATTTCTAATTATGTGTATTGTATACAAAAGAAGTATGTAACATTTATTCCTCAGAGAAAGTCATAGTCCTTCTATCAGACTGCTAGAGTGAAGAGTAAATGAATTTAATATGTATTTGAATTGGGTCTAGACTTTTTTCCATAGATATTGCTAGATTCCATGAAACACTGGCTTCAAGTATTATGATGACTGGATCTGAATTATGAGAGATTTTCTGATTTACAGTCTAATGGTGAGATTTTCAGGGATCTCTCTGCTCTTCAATCCCACTGTGGCTCTCCATACCTTAGAAGATTTCTTTCTGTCATTCTTTTTTGCCTTTAGACTTGAAAGGGTCTTGTAATGCCCTTGGTGAAGGTCAAGAGAATTTCAGAAGTATCTCACTCCTTCAGTTACTCTTTTTAATTTTTTTAGAGAGATTTTTGCTATAGGGAGTGTACGCTCACCAGAGAGACAGGGAGAGACAGAGAGATGGAAAGTGAGAGATCACCTTCCCAGGGAAGATGACTATGCTGCTATCCTTTCTCTATTCTCCTTTCGGGGCTTTGGGCACTTGTGCACATGTGCCCAGTGTGAGTTTTATGCCACTGTGTCCAGGACTCGAACTGTGGTCGACTATGTGGGAGTCCAGCAATGTAACCATTATGCCATCTGCTGGTCCTTTCAGTTCTCAAGAGCCACTGCCTTGCATATGGAGAAGGACCCACAGGCCTCAGAGAGCAAAGGTCTTTCAGTTGTCCTTTTATGTCCCTAACTTTTGGTCAAAGAACACCCTGCACTTGGTTAAGTCCTATAAGAAAGTGCTGGTGAACAGACATGAACTCTGTGTCTAGGGTTTTCAAAATTATGACCTATTATTCCAGCTTTCATGTGGCCATTAAAGGTTCACTAAAATTCAGATTGGCTTCTCTGACCTGTGGTGGATTACTTAGGATGTTCTACCAGGAATGAATGCAATTATAAATTTTTTTTTCTTGTTTTTGGCTTTTTTTTTTTTTTGGAGAGGTTTTTGCTATAGGGCGCGTGCACTCGCCAGACAGACAGAGAGAGTCAGAGAGATAGAAAGCGAGAAATCACCCCCCAGGGGGGATGGCCATGCCGCAATCCCTTCTCCTCCATTCTCCTCTTGAGATCTTGGGCACACACGCACACGTGCCCGGCATGAGTTTTAAGCCACCGGGTCTGGGATGCAAACCATGGTCGACTACATGGGAGTCCAGCGACATAGCCATTACGCTAACTGCTGGTCCCAATATTATTTTTTTCTTGAAAGGGCTTGTCACTTTTTCAATTCAGCTCATTCATATTTCTTTGCTCTCCTGTAGAACTTTTTTTTTTTTTCTTTTAAATTAAGACTACTAGCATAGGGGGACCAGCAGTTAGTGTAATGGCTATGTTGCTGGACTCCCATGTAGTTAACT